CGCCACACAGTCCAACCACCACACAGTCCAACCAAGACACAACCACATCATACAACCACCACATGATACTACTGCCACATGATACTACCGCCACACAGTACAACACCACATGACACAACCACCACACAGTACAACTGCCACATGACACAACAGCCACATAGACATAATACAACCGTCACATGACACAACACCACATGATACTACTGCCACACGGTACAACACCACATGACACAATCACATGACACAACCATCACACAATACAACTGCCACATGACACAACCACATGATACAACTGCCACTTAACTGCCACATGACACAACACCACACACTACAACTGCCACACGGCCCAGGCACCACATGACACAACTGCTACACAGTACAACTGCCACATGTCACAACCACCACAAAACACAACTGCCATATGATACAATCACCATATGATACGACTACCAGACAGTACAACCATCACACAGCACAACCGCCACAGGGTTCAACCATGACATGACACCGCCATCATGCCCCACTGCACAGGGTCACCTACAGCAGGGATGGGCATGCGCATGACACGGGCAAGCACAGCCAGGCACAGGCCTGCACCACACACCCAGAAAGTCGCCAACAGGCAAATCAGCCACAGGCCGTCCAGCGGGTGTCTGAGGGGGGGGCCGGTGCACGTGGTGAGCTGGCCGAGGGTGGGGGTTGGAGGTGGTGAGCTGACGCGACCGTGAAACAAGCACCGCTGCTCACACGCATCCCTCTGTCCGTCCGTCCGTCCGTCTGTGGGGGTCAGGACGCCATAGCACTGCCCAATTAAGTGGCTCCCTCAGACCCAGGCTCAGCCCGCCAGGGGCCCCGGACGCAGACAGCACTGCAGCGGCAGCACCCCGTGTCCCCTCCATACACACATGGGCAGTGACGGTCAGACCACAAGAAATGACGGTGGGCAACACGGCAGGGCGCAAGGAGCCTGGCACCAGCGATGCCCCCGACTGCGCGCCCAACCCCATCCCCTCGCCCCCCAGCACTGGGCTGAGCAGCTCCCAAGGGTCTCTGAGAGCATCCACTTACGGCCAAACACCTGGCGGACTGGAACTGCTGGCCAATCACGGCCCACGACGTCACCAGGGCCCCCGGCAGTGAGTCCCAGGAGCGCCAACTGGGGCAGCAGGCTGAGAGATCTGAATCGCCCGTCTGACCATTCACTCCCTGCCCTGGGCAGGGAGCCCACTGGCAACTCCCCCTAGACGGCTGCTGAGGGTTTGCACGTGGAAGTCGGCCTGCGCCTGCCAAGACTAGGCGGAAGCAGCAGGGAGCGGGCCAAGTGGGCGGCCGGCTGGGCTGCCGCGTGCCAAGACGGGGCCAGCTCCAGAGTCAACAGGACCCACATTTGCTGGCCAGCAGGACCAGGCTACTGTGGACACTGCAGTGCAGGTGTGGCCCAGCCAGGCAGCTGGCTGGGCCACAGGTAGGCCCACTGGCCCACACCCGTCCCACAGCCTCCAGTCTCAACCCCTGGGATTGCCGTCTGAGCCCGGTGCACAAATCATATTGCACCTTCCCCAGGGTCTTTGCACAGCTGCCCATCCCCCACCCCACCCTGGCACACACACCCGGAGCCCTGGTGCCTCAGCGGGCCGGGCACTGGACGGCTCACCAGCCACTCTCAGGACAAAGGGGTGCTCTGAGATCGAGTCTTGGAACCCCTGGGGGACCGTTCTCAGCAGTCAGCTTGGCTTGTGGTTTGGGGGAGCCTGTGGTTGGCTCCTTCCTGCCACTGCCCCCACCCACCCGTGTCTCCTCCCGATGGGCCCTCTGGATGTCCTCAGCCTAAGATGCCAGCTGCCACCCCGGCACCCAGACACCACTTGACCCAAGGACGCCGTGAGGGCAGCATGGATACGAACAGTCACCACTCAGCCCTTCGAGAGGCGTGGACTGTCCGGCCGCCTGGACACTACCCACCCACACTGCTACCTATCCGCCCCCCTCCCGCCATCTTGTCCGGTCTTGAGCAGGTGCCCCAACAGTCTAGTGTTGGAGTTGGCTGCCACCTGCAGGGTCAGCAGTTTGAAACCACCAGCCTGCATGGAGGGAGCAAGACGGAGCTTTCTACTCCCGTAGTTACAGGCTCAGACACCCACAGGGGCTGTCCCGCCCCGTCCTGTAGGGTCGCCATGAGTCCACATCAACTTAATGGCAGGAAGTGCCCTGGCCTCGCTTTCCCCACCTCAGAAAGACCCGGAAGCAGCCACTTGACATCACCATTGGGGGCTAGTGGCTCTGGGGTCAGGGACCTGGTCCCCTGCCCATCCCCCCCGTCCCCCACCCAGCCTGGCCACCCCCAATCCCTGGTCAGCACAGGGCTTAGGAGCCAAGGGGGCCTGGGCAGGGGCTGAAGGAGGGCAGAGGGCAGGGTGGCACCTGGGTCGGGCACAGAGCCTGCTGCCACTGCCACGGCACAAGCCATGCTGCCACGGAGTGGGCAGGCTGGGGCACACACACCCAGGGCCCTCCCCACAACAGGCCTCAGGGCCCCAGGGGGCAAGGCTGCCACCCGCTATGCAAATCCTCTCATGGTTCCGCCCAGAAGCTCTGGGCCTGCCCCCCACTAGCCCCCGGGAGCCCCCCCCACACCCCATGCCCCACAGCACTGCCCGGCACTGTTGCTTCCAGGGCACCCATCTCCCCAAAGAACCCACTGAGGCCGGTGGGAGGAGGACAGTGCCGGGGCTGGGCCCTGACCCTTGGCGCCTCTGTGCTGAGAAGAGGCCCCGCGGAAGATTCTGGAAGCCCAGGTCCCCCCGGGGCTGCCCCGGCCACACGGCATGCCAGGCCCTGCCCCCCACCCAGGCAGCCCCCAGGGCCCCGGCCTCAGATGGGAGGAGGAGGTCCAGCAGGGCCAGCTGCCCAAGGTGGCCATCTGGTTCCCATCTGCCCAGCCCAGAGGCTGCCTTCAAAGTCTGCCCCGCCTGGCCACTTCCTCTGTCCCCGCCCCAGCCCCAGCTTCCTCCCCTCCTAGGCCCAGGGCTCCGTCCACCACTGGACCCCGAGGCCCGTAGTGGACCCCGAGGCCCTGCCGGCTCCGCCTCAGCAACCTGCACAGCCTTGACCCCACTACAACCACATTGGGCCAGTGTCTGTGCTCCCCAAACTTCCCTCCGACCCAGCGGGCGGCTGGACTTTGCTCAGGGACGGCGGAGCCACACACAGCCTGCCTAGTGTCCACAGTACCTGACTGATCACATAGGATCCCACACTGCATCCACGAGGACCCACCGCTACATGCACTCCCTGCCCCCCAGCTGGGCTGCCCAGCCGGGGTTCTCCCACACGCGCTCACTCTGACCACCTCCTGGCCTTGGATGCCTAGACGCCTGCTGCCGGCCAGGCCCCCTGGAGGAGACACTGGGGAGCATTCCCACATTGAACAAACACCCCCACGTTGAATGAGCACCCCATTGAACGAGCACCCCGGTGACATCCCCACACTGAATGAGTGCCTCCCACACCATCCAAAGTGGAGGTCCACATCCCTGGCACCTGCCCCGGGGCCTACCTGCTTGAACTGCTCCTCGTAGGTCCAGTCCCCGTGGTCTGGCGGCTGCAAGGGGGGCACCGAGTGGACAGTGCCCCCAGGGTGGGCAGGGCCAGGACCCTGGCGCTCCTGGCCAGCCAGCGCCCGGGGTACGCCATCGCCACGGAAGGGCTGGGGTGGCTGGGCCTTGCGGGGAAACAGAGCTCCGGAGCTCAGGCCAGCTGGCCCTGGGGGGCCCAGCCCCTCTTCCTCCTCCTCGTCCTCGTCCTCGTAGTCCTCCTCCTCCTCCTCTTCTTCCTCCTCCTCCTCCTCATCCAGGTCCTCGTCCTCCTCGGCCAGGTCTCCCTCCAGCTCCTCCTCCTCCCACCTGTGCTTGCTGTGGGGGGCAGAGGGCGGGAGTCAGGAGGCAGAGGGGCTTGGGCCCAGTGCTGCTGTGGCCTCTCCCCCAGCTCCAGCTCCAGAGAGGCTGCCCCTGGCCATCAGCAGGGGTGCCGCTCTGCCTGGACCTATCCCACAAGACACCAGTGCCCCTGGCTGCAGCCCGGGCGTGCCCCCCACCCCCCTCGTCTCACTCTACAGCCGGCCTGGCTGGCCCCCAAAGCCCAGTCCCGTCTTCCCATGGGACCCTGGCCTTCGGGACCCCTGCTGCTGTCCCCTGCCTGCAGACAAAGCCCCAGCAAACTGGAGGCAGGGCTTTCCCAAGAGTCCTCATTGGGCCTCTGACCCTGCCAGACTGTCCCTTTGGCAAGGGCTTTGAGGGCCCTGGGGTGGGAGAGACTCGGGCTGGCCACGCCAGCCACACAATCTCTGACATACACGTGTGTGGAGTGGGGGGGTGCACCTAACTGTTCCTGCAGCTCAGTAAGTGAGCATGGGGCACCTGCTCGCCTGCTGGCTGGGCCCCCAGCCCTCGGAGCCTCCCCTGGGATCCTCCATAGCTGCACCTTGACCTGGACCTGTCCCCCGCTCCCCTCCAACATCCCTCAGACCCGAGGCTCCATATGGTCCTGGGGTCACTCCAGCTCCAGCACAGGCCAGAGGTGGGGGACGCCAGCAAACTACTGGGGTCTCCTCAGCTCCCAGCACAGGAGGTGGTGCACAGTGGGGGGGAGGGGGGCCACGGACAAGCCAAGGAACACACTTAGCAGGGTCCTAACCCAAGCCTGGACACAGGTCCGCCAGGTGAGCACTGGCCCAGGGGGACCCACGGGCAGGAGATGCCCCCCAAACACCAGCCCCCAGGCCAGCTGGCCACGTGGCCCAACTCACAGGTCCTCGCTGGAGACCAGGTCCTCAAAGTGCCCCGCCCCTTCGCCTGGCGGGGGCCCCTCCTGGCCTCGGCTGGGGGCGGTGGGCGGGTTGGGGGTGCCCTTGGGGTTGGCGGCATCCTCCTCCTCGGAGCCCCCGCGGGGGCTGGCCGGGTGGCCCAGGCCGGCGGCCACAGCTCGCATGGCAGCCAGGGCGGCCATCTGCGCCTGCTGCATCCGGGCGCTCTCGGGCTCCCGGTCCTC